CAGCGATTCTGTCTCGCAATGGTGGTTCACAAGGGAGAGTTATCTTCCCCGCCCTTTTCAACAAGGAACTGTCCAACAAACTCTATCGTTATAACATAAACCAGGCTATATGCGCGGACATTACCATCTGGTGCCCAAGAAGCTCCCTGGTGGAAGTAGAACAGGCCCTTCAGGCCACTTTTGATCCCACAGAAACCTGCCTACAAAACACCTAACTGCGACTGTCATCCACCAAATCCGAATCGCTACTGTACCGGCGATCTCACCAAGGCACTCGTCATCTAACCCCCTTACAATGACCCATATCCATCGTTAAAGAACCCCAGGTGGTCTAAATTTCCGGAGCCCTCCAATGCGACGTCTCTGATAATCATATGGTGGTTCTGGGACGTTAAACCCCGCATATCAATCAACCCATATCCATAGCGCTACAAGCGAAAGACGGGCACCATGTACCCCGCGTTCGCTCAACACGCTTTCTCAGTCTCCTAGTCAAGGCCGCTTGGTGCCTTGTACGAACGATAACACGCATCACAGGCAAAAAAATAAAAGATGCACCGAATCATCCAGCGAGTCTAGGGTGGCATTCAAGTTTTCGGCGAGGCTATAAGCTTGTGCGCATATACCACGCGTTCCTGATGAGCCCCACGAATTACGTCACCTCTGCCTACCACTGGGCGAAGCTGGAATAGCCGAAACTGAGCACACTCATGCGCAAAAACATTAAACTAGTCCTCGGCCTACCACAAAACACGAGTACCTCCCGTCTCGGCCAACTACGCATGCCCAACGACAACGACAAAGTGACAGACGCCCAGACCACGGCCGAAGTGGTCCACCTCTCCTACTCCAAGGTAGGCATATCTCTCCGTCCCTAGCTTAAACGTGCAGTAACCCTCCCCAGAGATGTCCGAAATACCTATACATGGTCGGCCCTTTCCCGACAAATATAAACCAACCCAGAACACGTCCGCGCTCTCGCGTTCCTTGACCGCACCACCGCGAATTGCTGCTCTGCCGTATTCGTCAATGCGGCGCAATACGCTACCTCTTTCACCTTCGCACCAGTGGAAGCCACTTCGGTTAGGCTATAGCAACGAGCGCCATAGCCGAGCAGGTCAATATATCTTTAGCAGTGATTGACCCCTCGCACACCAGCGTTTTCACAGACCCCCGCGTCGCCACTCGGGTTTACGAAAGCGCCAATGTCAGGCGTGAAGCAGCCCACGTTTTACAAACGCGCGAGCTCACGGGCTCGCACGACTCCTCCTGGTGCCCTGCACAAACGGACAAAAGACGTCCACTCACGCCAACCCAACCTCAATGAAACGGCTCATGATCGAGCGCGAGAACTCGTCCGCCAGGACGATCAATCAGCCACCGATGAGCTGGGCCCAGACACGCTGTTTAACGTCTCTTCCACGAAATCATATCTCACCGTAACGATAAAAGCCAATACCCCTTACCACACAAAGCTCGAACGCGCGCTAGAGGTAGCCTTTCGCACGCTACAAGCGAGATTGTACCATCACGATGCCGACTCAGTCATTACAGCTCAAACATAGCTCCACGATGGCCAGGTTGCGTATAACTTTATTGTTCCCTTTCCCACATGCACTGGCAATGTGCCGCATTACCTCAGGCACACGGAAGCGTACAGGTTAGGCCAAGCTCGGTCCCTTGTTCCAAGTGCGTAGTCTGTAACCCATTTCACAATGCGACGTTCTGGGGACTCTCCTGTGGGTCGCAGCCGTTCTGCCAGCGAAGGTGGAGCGTTGCAAAAGCTCCGGGACCCACTGAAACGAGGATGCTGCAAGTCCGCAGTGGCCTTTTCTGTTCATCGCCGACGTCAACCCCGACTCTAGGTGCTGCGCCTTCGAACCACCGCACTCTTCTCCCATGATACGCTGACTCTTCGACCTGCTTCGAACGGTGCCCCACAGACAATGCCCGCTTCTTCTCCTGTGGTTTATCCCCACGGCTCAGGTCGCGTGCCACGATCCCTTCACAGACCAATCGCAAGCGCGAGCGTGGTTAGGGAACTACCGAGTAATTTAGCACTACTTGCTAACTATTGAAAAATTCATTTATTAGGCGCCTCGTGCCCCTTTACTGATGATAAGCACTCACACAAAATGTTAGCACTGTTCTTTTTTGCCATATGTATGTAATGAACCATTTATGACCACTGGAAAACTCAGTTGTGTGAGCGCGCGACGGCTATTTGAAGAAGTTTTTAGAGCGCCTAGCCACAGTTTCGGTTTCAAAGAGACACTGAGCTGGGTATACGAGCAGTTCCGATGTCAAGGTAAACACTGCCAGCTGCGTTACGAAGCAAAATTGGGACGTAGGCGGGAAGCGCGAGAGCATGTGCGAGGGGGTGCCGCACTGACTACAAAGCAACGCCAGCACACGCAAAGCAGCGGGCACGGAGGAAGCAAGGAAGAAATCGCAGGTATAGCTCAGCGTAAGGCACGTGCCAGCAACCAGTCAACCCAAACTCGTGACGTATAGGTTTGTTTACATAGCCATCACATTGATGTCGGCGTCTCTAGAGGCTCCACATCTCGCTCAGTCGCGCAGCAAGAACTTTAACATTGGCCTTAATTATGTGTTAGGCTAAATTTGCCTTTGGTATTTCATCGATGTTGTGTATGTATCCACATATAGCTAACTGTGGGTACAGGGACAGCAGTCTGTGGGTAAAGGGACAGCTGTGGGTACAGGGACAGCAGTAGGCTTGAGCTGCGCTCAGTCACCTGACCGGGACGCCACTTTATCTGAACGTGAAGCCAGCGTAGCCAACTTCTTTCGTGTTAGCCAAGCGACCAGCGTTGGCCTCGTCGTGGTCAGCTTTCGCACGCCCACTTCACAAGCCGGAGTCACTGCGTTTCGGTTGCGCATTCACCGGCCGGCCCGTCGACGATTCGGTGATACTGACCATCATTTCTTCCACCGCTTCGCCACCCATCCGTTCCGAACTGTATTGCTCAAAACAACGCGTAAAACTGGAAAGGATGACACAGTCAGACAGGACAACACAGACGCTCTTTACATTGTTTGTGTCATCCTTTCCAATTATGCGCTGCTACATGTGTTGAAATGATCCTACTAGCCCAGCAAGCAACCACCAAGGTAGCGCTCAGTGTAATGTCCCGAATTCACGTTCTCCTTGTTTTTTCTAAACGTTTTATTGTGTGTACTGAATATTTAGAGGCGAAGCTTATTACGGTCGAGTTTTGTCCGGTGTCCAAAGATGTACCAACGACGTGATACGTTGTACACTTGTATCACACCTCTTACACAGCTGTGAAAAACCATCTGGGCCGTCCATCCGTCCTTTATACTATAGTCGGCGACTTACACGTAGCCATGACCTAGCTTCGCCCCCTGCCCCCTCGTCATCATTCACTCCATGAAGATGCGTAGAGTTTTTAAACTAATACCTCTTACTAAGTGATTTTCCTTTCAGTTTCCATTAGAAGTTTTGTGTGTTTGTTTCCAACGAACAGCTTTCACCTTGATTATGTTCTCAGATGCTCCACCACAGGGAGCTGTCAACAATCATAAAAAAAACAGTGCCTTAGAATATTACGAGTGTCAAGATAGATTGCGTTATGATCTGCACCATATTTGAAGAGAAAAGTCCCAAGTTTCGAGGTCTTAAAACAATATATTATAATTTGTGACTGAAGGGGATATCTAAAGCCGATGCTGATAAGCACGTTTGATATTAAAGTAGAAAAACAAATCAGACAATAGCACATTTATCGCTTACTATTTTTTGTGAAGATATCGAGGAAGAAAGGCGTGTGACATGGCTCATTTGTAATGACAGCAGCAGTTACTGTTTCTTCCCTTCTTTTGTCACGGGCGTTGCGACTATCGGCCACACATATGTGAAACGGTTGTACGCCAGCCGTTCCAGAGACAGCCGCAAGTTGCTCGCTCTGAGCCGGGAAAGTCTACCGTGTGTGCACCATTATTCTTCGGTGAATTCATGTTGCATTATGAAATCGGTCTCTGAGTAAATAACCTATGTACTCTTGTATAGATTCTCGGGTCAAGGTGCGAAACGTGAACTTTGGTTCGTCAGCTGCATCGTGTTTATATTTTCTCATAGTCTTGAAGCCACATAAAAGAGTTCGCTTTTATTCAGCAGGTTCCTCAATCACTCGATCGAGCATATGCTCCATATCCACTGAAGAGTACCCTTTTCCGAAGAGAGGTTGCGTTGCGAGTTTATTAAAGTCAAGTCTTCCTGCTATTATATTTCAAAGTACCTGCGCGAATACTTCGCAGTATACTGAAATTAAGCTGATCGGTCAATGGTTTTCAATTATTTTACGTTTCCCGTCTCATGTACTAATATGATACTGATACTTTTCTATAACTCACCCGAAACCAATTAAGTTTTATGACATTTAGCAAAGTATTGCAAGCTTCTCAAACGTATGTCCCATCCATCCTAGCTCAAATCGTCTGTCATGCCAGTTTCTCACATCCATTTTCTACGGGGCACACCTAGTGGAGAGAGCCCTTGTAACCTTATCGGTATTAACTGATAGACCTTCAGTGTCCAAGATGCCGAAGTGGTACCAGCAGCAGTTCTGATCGGACAGACCTGATATTTCGACGCCCTTTTGGTGCCTTCCTAGCGGGCCGCAGCACGTGCTGTTCATCTGCCGCGCACGACCCTCGAGACACGACATTAAGGAAGAATTTATGTGAGGTGAGAAAAAACAACGCCGATTCCACAACCGATGCAGTCAACCTCTGAGGAAAGGAGCGACATGGTGTCGAAAATTAGGCTGCACCTTAAGACGTGGCTGGTGCCAGTTCAGCTTCTATAATCCAGCCAGACATAGCTTTGTTGAAGACGTGTACATTTCAAACTCCAGTGCCCTGTTCGAAGTTGATCTCACTCAAGGTTGGACGGCTTGTCAGTTAACTACATCAACTGTTCTTCATTGACAGCAGTCGGCATATATGATACTTACAGATTCTTGAGTAGCGTGGCAGTCCGGAGCATCTTATCTCCCAGTGCAGCAAGCTTGTTGTGGCTGAGGTCTCTGCAAAGAGAGAAGGAGAACATGCACCTTTTTTAAGCCCGACTACGCCCTCAAATGACTTCAACAAGCGCACTTTTCCACTAGTTCGCATATTGCATTCACTAAAAAAAGATATACGTGGCCTTCGTGCAGGTAAGAAGAATAGATAAAGACGAGAAAACTGAATAAGGTGCCTTAAATGTGTCCTTGGTACTTCGATAGCAGTTAGAGTCTGCCTTGAGGCCTTCAATCCCCGCATGGTGTCTCGTTCAGCGGACGGCCAATACCTGGCGTCCAGACATCTCTTCCTCGAATTGAGCTGACGAGGAAAGTCAGCGAGACGAAATGTGCGCACTTGTGCACCGGCGGTTTTCTACTGCCGAGCACTTCTTCGGCAGCACGACGCACACATACGAAAGGACAAAGTTCACAATTCCTAAGACTAACAGCAGTAGAACTGGCTGCTTCGCCTTGCTAAGCATCTAAATTGTGAACCACCTGATCACACTCAGTAATCTTTCAATGGCTACCAAGCCGCTGTAGCATTGTTTTCGACCATGAAGTAAGTTGTCCATTTTGCCAGGATTTCCGTTCATAAGTGTCCTTTCACAGACAGACGCTGCATGAAAACTACGCAAACATGCATTCGCATTCGTCACATCTTCATGATACATGCCCTACTATAGTAGCATATGAATTATACCTAAAGTAATAATGAAACTCTAAAAAGTATTCCTTCCGTCTATATGCTTCGTTAGGGGTGTGCAAACAGTGAATTTTAGAACTGAATCCAATACGAATGTTTCAGTAGTCTCTCCGAATCGAATTCAAATCCATTGGAATATTCTTTTGTATTGAGGAACCGTATTCGCAACAGCACTAAATTTCAACAGCACTTTATTTGAAACGCACCTAATTAAAAGAGCATTACGATTACTTTCAACCAACAGAAAATGCCACAGCTATGAAAACTACAGTTTTCGATATATAATTTATAACTACGCGCACAAATAGAGCGGTTACTACGACATTAAACAGCTTTCACATAAAATTTGAAAAAGCACGAAAATATCTTCAACCGTATACCACTGATACAGCGAAATGTGCAATAAAATAAGCAAAGCAGTTATCACGGCATGGTCCTTAGCACCAAAGACAAATAAGCAACAGCACTGAATATTGCATTTACAAGACAAACGATTTACGATGGCCCCGCCGCGGTGGTCTAGTGGCTAAGGTACTCGGCTGCTGACCCGCAGGTCGCGGGTTCAAATCCCGGCTGCGGCGGCTGCATTTCCGATGGAGGCGGAAATGTTGTAGGCCCGTGTGCTCAGATTTGGGTGCACGTTAAAGAACTCCAGGTGGTCGAAATTTCCGGAGCCCTCCACTACGGCGTCTCTCATGATCATATGGTGGTTTTGGGACGTCAAACCCCACAAATCAATCAACGATTTACGATGCATAATGAAGGTGATACATTGTATCACCTACATAACTTTTCGGCGTATCCTCATACGCCCGGCAAACAGAACCACACTCTCACGATAACAAGCGTGTATTGATAACACTGGCACTTCGGTGACACCAGAGTTTGAAGCACCTTCATCCAGTGATCAATATGGCGTAAATAGTACCGTATAGGTTCAACCTGCAAGCAAATTGCAAATAAATTATTAAAAAAACAAATCAGCACTCACTATTGCAATGCTTTCTTTTTCGCTGGTATAACCGTCAGCACTGACAACTCTAAAAATGTTATTTCTTCGCGGACTACAGGCACTTAGAAGGTTTCTATATACGTACTTGTCTATCTATCAAGCAGAACAAGTCTGAATACACTCACGATCGCCTGCTTAAAATGGGGTAAACGTAAGTTAGCGTGCAGAGTAAGAGGGTTCGGCGAATAAGTCAGCCTGGTCACGTCATGAATACCACAAAAATCCCGTCGCGTACGTCAACAAAACCTTTGCGCTAAACACGACAGGTACTTAACCAAATATCAAGGGCCACGGTACGCGGCTATGCGCAATAGATGATTGACAATTCCTATTGCTACGTACCAGTGACATTCAAATGAATTGATTAATTTGTGGGGTTTAACGTCAAAAAACACACTATGATTATGAGACGCCGTAAAGGAGGGCTCCGGAAATTTCGACCACCTGGGGTTCTTTAACGTGCGCCCAAATATGAGCACACGGGCCTACAACATTTCCGTCTCCATCGGAAATGCAGCCGCCACAGCAGCGATTCGAACCCGCGACCTGCGGGTCAGTAGCCGAGTACCTTAGCCACTAGACCACCGCGGCGGGGCTAGAACACTCGTTGAAGAATTCTAAATTCACCATGCAAAGCTCCGAGATGCCTGTAGTCCGCATTCCACAAACCCTTGGTGGAATGCGAACTGCTCACAGGTTTATTGGTTAGTTAGTTAGGAAAGGCTGCATATAAATAATTATTTTTAACCAGTGCTTACGCAACTGGAGTGATTATAAGCATACGGATGCTATATTCAAGAAAATCTTTGTCAATGCGAAGGACAAATTTGACAGGAAACGATGTGAATTTCTTCCAAAGACGGCGAATAGAGAACCACTGTTTCGATTTCTGAGAACCAAGAAAGTTCTTTCGGTTCTAAAAACGTGAAATACGTGGCTCCACACCACGTAAACTGAGATATTGCTCAGGACCTAGAAATTTGCTTCGCGAGTGTTCTCTTATGCTAACCCTAGCCCCCCTCATAGGGATGACAATTTTGAAGAGCTCGCTGCTGCAGAAGTAGAAAATGTAGTAAGAACGCTGCGGTTCTGATGGAAGGACGACGTCGGTAATATAAACAGTGCATGAAATTTACCCTCTTGGCCTACTCGAAAGTACATAATCATCATCATCAACCTGACTACACCCACTGCAAGACAAAATTTATTCTCATGTTCTGCCAATCGACCCGGTTTTGTACTTTCTGCTGCCACGTTTTACCTACAAACTTTTCATTCTCATCAGCCCACCCAAATTTCTGTCTCCCCCTCACGCGTTTTCCTTCTCTGGAAATCCAGTGTGTAATACCCCTGTCACACGTGGCAACCTAAGTGCCCTTTGGGCGAATACACTTAGCCGCGAGTGTCATTTGTGCACTGTCACACGAGAAAGTTTAGTGTCACTCGCTGCAAAGTACACTTGCCGGCAAGTAGGTTCCCCAACCTCTCTTCGCTGCAACGTGTAACCTCAGTACCAGTGGCTTGCACAGGAATACGATATTGCCTCAAGCGGCACTCAATCTATTTCCAAGCTATTGTTTTGGTGATAATGAATACTGCTGTGTATTAAAGCAAGTCAGAATACAACAAAAAAACTCACTACTTTTACCCTCGGGCAGCTTGCGGCCACGTCCGCTAGGGGAATACGGCAGTACATGCACAGCAATGGCTGCGTCCGTGGCGTTGTTTACTTCCAGGCACACTTGTACATGTGTAGGTGACTTGTTCTCTAGTCATTTACAATGACGCGTGCCACAGGTGCTGCTTCCACGAAGACAACGTGGTCCGACGATGAGACATAGGCGCAAAACAACAAATATACGTTGTGGTACAAAGTCGTCAATTGCCACTGCCATCATTTCTGAAATACACTTCATTTTCTCTTGTAGCAGGGAACCACGAAAATGGCATTTTGTAAGCGTAAGTATACTAGCTCTAAGTGCACTAAAGTTGCCACTTGTGACAGGAGTTTTACCCTTAATGACCAGCGGTTATCCTGCCTACGCGATAGGTACCCGGACTCACATCGAACTGCTTTCAACACGCATTAGTGAAGCGCTTTTCAGTGAAATTCTTTCCGTTTGCTGGTGCGCCTCTAGAGAACATCCATGGCGACACCGAACAACCTCGCTGCAGCGCCGATCGAGTAGTGACGATTATGCCAACAGCCTCAAACAGCACAGAACTACCCCGAGTATTACCATAGATCCTTTCCTTGGCAATTTCCTTCTTGAAATCTCGATAGATCTCTAGTGCGGACTTCTTAATCATGCCAATTCTCTACATATCGGTCTCAGCTTCCTTCACCTTCTTCTTAACCGATAATTCTTTTTGGTTTGGCCCCCTGCTGTTTTATGAGTATTTACCCGGCAATTTTCTGGTTCGCTTCCTCCATTTTGTATCGACATTCTTCATGTACAAGTAGCTGAAAACCTTCCTAGCCCAACGCTCCTACCCCATTTCCCTCAATCGCTTCTCAAATTTTATCTTGATGCTAGCTTCCCTGCCCTCAAATGATGTCCATCCCATATCACCTTGTACTCCCTGATTTGGTGTATTCCCGTGAGCTCCTAAGGCAAGCCTACCTATTGTACGTTGCTTGATTTCTAATCTTGCTTCAACTTCTGATCTCATGCACAAGACCGCGTTTCCGAACGTCAGACCAGGAACCATGACCCCTTTCCATATTCCTCTCACAACCTCATACCAATTGTAATTCCACAGTGCCCTGTTTTTCGTCACCGCTGCATTCCTGTTAACTTAAGTCGTCACGTATATTTCGTGTTCCCTTAGGTATTCTGTCCTATTGCTTATCCATACGCCCAGATATTTGTATTTATTTGTTATCTCTAGCGTGACCTCCTATATGCTAAGCTCACTACCTTCATTATCACTAAAATCGTGACTGCTGATTTTTCCTTACTGAATCTGAAATCTAACCTATCTCCCTCATTACCGCAGATGTCCATCAATCTCTGCAAATCTTCCTTGTTGTCAGCCATGAGCACTACCTATATCATCTGCGTACATCAAAGCTGGTAGTGCCTGTTATATGAGTTTTCCTTGTTTGCCGAAAGAGAGAATGAAGCCCAGTCCACTTCCCTCTAATTTGTCCTCTAATCCTTGTAGGTACATCATGAATAACAAGGGTGACAGAGGACACCCCTGACTAAACTCCCGTTTCACCTCTGTGTACCTGGATACCTGTTTTTCCCACTTTATAACTACCTTGTTACCTTTATAGATATCCTTTAAAAGATTAGT